CGTAGCCCGGAACTAGGGCTAAAGTACGGCCATTTCCCACCATAAAATTTTTTAGGCCTGTGCTTGGCCGGATTGAGAAAGGCGTGGTTGCTTGATACTCTTCACTGTGATGGTAGCGGGGAGAGAGTTAGGGTGAAGGAGATTGGGGCGCGGGCTGAGGGTTGGAGAAGGGAACGGATGGATTCGGTGAGGGTTCCTGAGGGGAGTCCATTGATGGATCATTTCCGGAAGCTGTGGCCTGGTACAAAGAAGGGTACAAAAGGGCGGTGGGAGGACTGGGAGAGTGGGGATTTGGAGACGGAAACTCAGCAAGACTTATATGAACATTTTTCGAGATGGAGGAACAGGTTGAACCCACGTACATCTTTGGCCTCAATATCCTTTCCTTTGGTAGATATCCATCTAGAGACCTGCACATTGCCTCCGAGTAGGTGGATAGTGAGGGCTGGCCGTCACTGGTCTTTTTCACATCCGGCTATAACATCCGAGTCAAGCATGGCAACTTTCAGGGTTCCGGCTTCCGGGTGGCGAGAGCACCAGGGGATTCGCCTCTGGAGTTGGGAGATAGGGGAGGCTACATAACTTTTGAATCATCTACAACAATATCTCATCTTTCAAGCAAAACACCGGATCCCAGGTCTCTTGTAGGTCAGGTACCTAGGTGGTGTTCTAAGCTGCTACACAACGACTACCACCACCCGCACAGCCTCCACAACCTCCGCAGCCTCCTTCAGGCCCAGGCTCTTGGTACGGACTGTCGTCGCACAGCTCACGGTTGTGACAGCTACATTCTGCGAGGTCAAGTTTGACCGGCAGCAACCAGCTTGAGTTCCTGATCAACCGTTGAACCACCGACAGCTCGGCCTTCGGCAAGACCCCGTCGGGTTTTAGACGAGCTGCCTCACAGAACCAGCTATTGCAGCGAACATATTCTCCCCAAAATGACGTTTATACAGCTGTTTTGTTTGCTCAAGTCCAGAAGAGATGGCCTTTTGCTCGAGATGGTCATTGTGCTTGATAAAACGTCCGTTGGTGACAGTTTTTGAAAATTGGAAATATTCTACCGGCGAGAGTTGGTGTGTGTGCCAGACTAGGTCTATATCCAGCGTGGGAACAACGGATACCAGGCCGGCGTGGAACAGACGAAGGAAACTGCTGTATCGCGCAATTGCCCGTCGAAAAATCGAGTCTGAATAGGGGCTGTGAATCCAACCAACACGTGTTAACGTGAGGGCGAAGTCAGCCTGACGGCCTACAGCGGCTACGAGGTCGTACTTGGCTGTCTGGTAACCAGGAAGACTGCGATTCGTTGTATCCAGCTTAAGAATTTCGGCGGTCAAAAGCTCGGGGATTTCAATTCCAGCACTAGCTTTCTCGTTAAAATCAACAAGAAAGTCGGGAGAAAGGGCCTAGTAATTCAATATGTCGAACTCGTGATTCTGAAAGAGTCAATTTTGCCGGGTCAGCACCAAGATCCTCGCTCTAGATATGGCCTCTTTATTAATATAGTCGTTCTCCTTTTAATGTCGTGTTTCGGATCGAAACTAGCATGTCACCTACAAGTAACTCCCAGTGTAGACCGCAGTCAGCAGCCCCACTGGGACAGACCGCTATGGCCCAGTCTTTATAAAGATACGGATTCAACATAAATGAATGCCAAATCATCAACACGTCTCATCACAGGGCAGTACTATTAGTATCTGGACACGACCGTCATATACGTAAAGGCTTGGGTCAATACTGACCGAGAGGGGGCAGCGAAGTTTGCATCGCAACATCGCTCACAGAGAAAAACCAACGAAGGAATCTCGAGGTTGCAAGACGAAGATACTGATCCCATACTGCTTCTTGGC